AGTGCATGGCTGGGAGTAAGAGGAGGATTCTGTCCTGGCATGTGTGGCCATTCTTCAGAACCGTTTGCCTGCTGTTGACACTGGCCCCTCAGAGGAGTTCCAGGGTGTTTAGCTCCTCAGCTGATCCTTCTTCCCTTATTTATTCTCTTTTCTATTTATATGTGAGGTCTAGGACCCTCAGTGAACAGATGATAGAGGGCATCTCTCCAAGGTGACCCTTCTTTTCTGTCTCAGGAGGGTAGGCATTTCCCTTTGGGAGGGGGCTCCCATACCTCCCACAGGTCCCCACTTTTACCAGCACCAGTGTCTGCCTCTGAGGACATTGGCAGCTCATAGAAAGTCGGGCTGGTGCCCGGGATTGGGGGGCAGGTACTCCCCACCTCCCTGCCTCCCCTTCTGCTCCTCATCCCTCCTTCCCACTTTATTACCATTTTTGTACTTGATGCCTTCTCCATGAGCAGTGGCTCTGTTGGAAGGAGGGATCCAGGAGCCTGGTGGGAAGCCTTCCTCAGACAGATAGCTTTAGGGGCTTTATTTAAAGACTGTGTGACGATGGAACAAGAGCAGGGCTGCACCTCTGTATGTTGGGAGATGATGATGTCCATTGCTGTGTGATGGCTTGGAATTTAATTTATTAAAGTCTAATTGGAGTTTATAAACTGGACAACTGGTTATCCTTTGAAAGGCCCAGGGGCAGTGAGGCTGTAGTATTGATGGAGTAGGAGAATCAGAGATGGGGGCTCAGATAGTGAGGTGAGGTAGGCGACACACATACTGGGTCTGCTATGAAGTTCCTGCAGGGAGGAAGGGACATAAAGAAAGAAGATGGGAGAACAAAAGTTTTTGAAGGGTGAGTTATAACACAAAAGTCAATCAGAAAAAAAAGTAAACGGACTAGTACAGGCATATTCATTCCCTTTTCTTGAATAGGCTGCTCCTTCCAGGATATAAAAGAGTCCAGAACATGGACTCTGGATCTAGACTGCCTGGATTTGACTCCCAGCTCTACTAATTACCTGTGTGACCTTGGGGAAGTTATGTAACCTCAGAGTGTCTCAGTTTTCTCATCTGTAAAATGGGGACTGTGATAATAGTAGCTATAATTTGGTTGTAGATGAGAAGTAAATGATTAAAGTGCTTACTATACTGGCATATAGTCAGTGATGAAGAAATGTTAACTGTTACCTCGGAAGTGACAGATTGGGAGGGGAAAGTCTTATAAAGTTTTCATCATAATAAAAAGCCTTTTATTCCTAAATGTGGGCTATTTTCAGGGAGTTGTATATACTAGCAAACTGTGTCCCTGGTTCCTGTTCTCTGGGATCTTATACAGAGCTTGAACCAGGTAAGGTGCTGTAGGATGTCAGAGCGCTGGAACAGGGACAGAGAACCTGAGTGTGCTACAAACACCAAGTGACCTTGAGCAGACGACTCCTTTCTGGACCTCAACTTCCTCATCTCTAAAAGGCGGGGTAGCCTAGATAATCACTCAGGTCACTCCCAGCCTTGCCATTCTGACTTATCTATATTACAGGGAGTTCAGGGCACGTGCCTTTGAGTAAGGCAGCATGGAATTGTTAATATTCTCCATGATCCTGTCCATACTAATCACAGAATATGGGCTATTTAGAAAGAGTGGCAGAGTATGGATATTTGGTTAATTTGTGTATAATATGCTCACCTCTGTCATGAAAACTCAGATTTATCAAGCGATTTCCCCTGATCTAAGGAATGCAAATCTTAGTACAATAGTTCACAGAGGAACAGTTTGCTTACCAATATGACAAGACAGCCAAACACTCTGAACTTGAAATTTCACAAGAAGCCTTTGTTGATGGGAGGGCAGGTATTCAGATTCCCATTGGACCTGTGGATTGAATGGATGGTAACTGGAAATTGTGCTCAGCTTTCAGTGATGAGCAGCCCAGAGCTCAATGGAACCACATATTTTATAGCGAAAAAGAGGCTGATTCAAAAATAGGGATTTTAAAAATAAAAGCAAGCGCTGGCAGAGTGGCTCAGTTGGTTAAGAGCGCGAGCTTTGAGCAAATAATTTATCAACTTGATCCATTTTACACTTTCAGAAGAGAGCCACAGCTTTTTTTTAAAAAAAGATTTTATTGGGGAATTTGGGGAGGGGAACAGTGTTGGGGAATTGATGAAGGGGAACAGCCAAGTTGTCCTTCAATCTTAGTGGTGGAGGGCACAGCAAGCTCAGCTCCAAGTCCAGTCGTGCTGCTCAGCTCAAGGTGCTGTGTTCAATTAGTTGCAGGTGGGCGTAGCCACCATCCCATGCAGTAGTCGAACCAGCAGCCTCGTTAACAGCGCATGCTATATTCACTGAGCGCCCCCAGGTGGCAGCTCAGCTTAAGGTGCCTAGTTCAGTCTTTAGTTGCGGGTGGGTGTAGCTCACCATGTCAAACAGGCAATCTCGTTATTAGGATCAGGTGCTATCACCAGCTGAGCCATCCTACCACCTACCACCTACCACCTGCAGCTCGGGGCAGCTCAGCTTGGGCTCAGCTCACTGGCCCATGTGGGAATTGAACTGGCAACCCTGTTGCTCAGAGCTCGCACACTTGAGCAAACCCTTAACTGAGCCACTCGGCCAGCTCTAGAGCCACAGCTTTTGATGAGTATTAGTTATGCTTTAAGTTTTTGTGGAAGCCTTTAAAGAACAAACCTTAGGATGTGTCTGAGTTATCCAGCCAAACTGTGGCTTATTTTCAAGAGAAGCAGATTGAGATGGAAGTAAACTATGCTACACAGCAAGACACTGCCTCAAATTTTGGAAAGATGTGTGGATCCCAGAACTATTCTGGAATTTTTGCTCTGTAAAAATTGACACTACATAGCTCTGTGAATAAACTTTTACTTCATGAAATTGCTAAGTTAAAGCTAATAGCCATCTTTAGTGGTATAAATCTGAATTAAAATAAGATTGGCAGTTCGTGAAATATTACTACATATGATTCTGAATGAATAAAGTTAATAAATTTTATTATTGAATATTTTAAAACCCCGATTTTAAAACAAGGACAAAGCTATAATTCAGTGTTGTTAATAAACTTCATACCCAAATTCCTGATTTTACTATGACTTTGCTATTTTTAATGGTGTCTTTAAGTTCACTATTTTTATTAAACATTTAATGTGTTTTCTGATTATATAAATTATATAGGCTTTTTTGTTAGAAAAATATAACAATAAAATAACTATCAATCCCAATAAACTTTACTAAGGTACAGAATTTATTTAACAAATATATCTTGAACCCTTTCTGAGTTGCAGCCGCTAGGCTAAGTGATGAAGTTATAAAGGTGAAAAACACAATCTCCGCCCTCCCTCACTGAGCTGAGTCTAATGGGAAATGTAGACAAATAAACAGGAAAATACAATACAATGTGAATAGAGCTGTAATGAGGATATACAGGAAAGTGATGTCAAGGATGAATTTTTGTAAAAAGAAGCATCTTCATTGAGACCAGAAAAAGGAATAGAAATCAATCATGTATGTGTGGGATGGGGTGAAGGGGAAGATTGTTTCAGGAAGAGGAACCAGCAAGTACAAGGCAGGAGAGGTAAAAGGCCGCTAGGTGTGGAGAAACAAATTTGGGACTGGAAAGCAGGAAGTGAGGTCGAGAAGGTCTTAAGACATAGCTGGAGAAGTATGCAGGACCCAGATGCTGAAAGGCCTTTAAAGCCTCAGTACAATTTTGGAGTTTTAACCTGAGGGCAACAGGATGCCTTTGAATGTTCAAAGCAGAATGGTGGTTTGATCAAACCTGTTCTTTGTAAAGATCATTTGGAATGCTCCATAGAGAATTATTTGGGGGGAAGCAAGAGTGCACGCAGTGGAACCAGTTGGGTTAGTCCGGACTGGAGGTCGTTAGTGAACTCAAGAGAGGGAGGAGAAAATTCAGAATGGGGAAAGAAGGCCGGCAGAGTGGCAAGTTGGCTTAGGACGCCAGCTCTGAGCAGCAAGGCCCCGGTTTGGATCCCACATGAGGGCCAGTGCCGCTGCGCCCTCGACAGCTAAGATGGTGAACAACAGCTCGACATGGAGCTGGGCTGCTGTGAGTCACCTGCAAAGGTGTAGGCTGCAATGGGGCTGGCCGGCAGCGGGAGTGCGCTTTCGTGAGCGGCTGTGAGCAGCCGTCCAATGGCCAGCCAGCGACTGCCTCACCCGGGAAGAGCGCAATGATGGTGCCAACATGGGCAAGTGAAGCAACGTCCTCCACAACTAGACTGAAGAACAAAAGGATAGCAANAACTTGTCTGTTCCCCTTCCCCGATTCCCCAATAAAAATCTTAAAAAAAAAAAAAAAGGAATGAATTTCAGAGATCCTGAGTTTACGGAGGTAGAATTCACAGGACGTGGCAGTGGATTGGCTGTGCTGAGAAAGGAATCAGGAATGACTGCCGGTTTCCGACTTGGAGTGGACAAAATTCACTGAGTCTGGTGACACAGGAGGCAGAGTTTGGGGGCACAGGAATACGGATAAATAAAAGATTAAGAGGGCAGAGGATAGATGTAGGACCCCTAGTTGGGGCCAAGCAGGGCTAGCGGCGCTGTACCCCTTCTCTGTGCTGCCCACGCGCCAGTTATCGCAGTGAACCAAACGAGAAGACCCCGTTTGGCGCGCGGCGGAGCCCAGCGCAGGCCCAGTGGGGGTCGTGCGATGAGCCTGCGCAGTTGGGGGAATTCCGGCCCTCGGTCCCTGCCAGCGTTTTTCTTGGATCCCCGCGCAGCGTCTGCCACTTTACTTTCCCGACAGCCCGCCGCCCCTTACTCCCGCCCCTTCCGTGTTTTGGCGCGCACCGGTGCCGTCAGTCGCCGCGGCTATTGGGTTTTAGGGTATCTGAGAGCAGCGATTGGCTGTCTCTGACCGTCGCTCAAGCTCCCTCCCGGAAATGGTCTGAGGTGGGAGGAGAGCTGAAGAGACCCGGGAGCCGAGGGACGGTAAGCTGTTCCTCGGGCATGGCGGGGCTGCGTCGGGGATTGCGCTCTGGGCAGGCTTCGAGGCCACGCTCTTACCTTGTCGACTCGGCGAAGCTTCCTCTTACAGCTGGGCCACGCTGATAAGCCTGGCGCCTGCAGCCCCGCCTCTAACCTTGCTTTCTCATCCCCTGCTGCTGAGGCACGGTCACCGCCACGTCTTAGGGAGGACTTCGGGAAGCCTGAGGGGCTGCGAGGGAGAAGTTTTACCCGCCGAGGCGGTCTTCTCTCCGAATTCTACCCGTTCTTCCAGGAGCCGGATTCCCCCCGCTTAGTTGATTGGGCAAGCTTTTCCGTCTTCGCCCTCCCATTGGGATTTCTCCCTGTCCTGATATCCCTCATCGGGCGCTTTGTTTTGGTCGTTGTCTTCACACATCAGTCTTATCTCTTTGGCCAAATTGTGAGTCCCTTGGAGGTTCAGGACCCGGGGCCCTCCTTTTCTTACGTACCATTCAGGGGTCATTCAGTGCCTTGCGTTACAATATATACTGTTAAGTATTTGCTGATTGCTTCTTACTGTGACTCCTGATGAAGTGTTAAGAATCCCTAGGATTGTCCTTTTGTTGACCTTTTTTGTAGAATTAGTGCTTAGATCATCTCACCCTCAGAGGCAAGAATACGAATAGCTAACACTTGTTGGATTCTAGCAGTGTGTTATGCTAAGCATTTTAATATCTATTACCTAGTTTAGTCCATAAATCAATGAGGCAGGCATAATTATTCCCATGCTACATGGGAAACCGGGGCTTGAGTAACTTGCTTAAGGTCACATAGCTAGTAAATGTTGACACTTTCTAACCAGATCTGTTGTATCCATCACCTGTTGCTATGACATTAATATCCCATTTTACATTTAAGGAAACAGGTTTAGAGAAGCTAAGTGCTTTGTCCAAAAATAAAATAGTAAGTTAAAGATTTACTTGAACATTAAAAGAGCCTCTAGTAGGTAAGTGCTGGCCCTGCAGTTAAGACTGAACAGGGCACGAGGCTGACTTTCTAAGAGCGCACAGCTTATTGGAGGAAACTGACAAAATAACTGCTTAATAAAACATGTTTTGGGTATTGTGTATGCAGATATGTTGTCTACAGGGAGGAGAGAATCAGACAAGGAGAGGTAAAACAGGCAGATGTAGGAGGAAAATAGAGCTGAACTCCCTGGCTTTGAATTCTGTTTCCATCACGTCCTAACTGTGACCTTGGGTAAATTACTTAACCTATCTGGGCCCATTTCCTCACTGAAGGGGGATAATAATGGCACCTATACCTCAGTAGGGTTCTTGTATTAATGAGTTTTTATACAAATAAGATGCTTAGACTACTGCTTGACAATTATCGTTGTTATGTTATTATAGGCATAGCAAAATCGTTGAGACAAGACGTTTGAACCCAGGCCTGACAGCTGGCCCAATGCCCTCTTCAGTACACCAGTTGCCTCATTTGCATTCCTTGCCTACAGAAAGAGTGGTGATCAGGTAGTCACTGAGTCCTACAGCTCCCCAGGGTAGAAGTAAGCAGGGCACAGGGAGAGAAAGTAAAGAAGGCTGGGGGACAATGAAAGAAAGATTCAGGGAGCTTTGCTAAGCTTCAAGTCATTCTAGATTCTAAATAGCCAGCCTCCTGGGCCTTACCCACCAGTCTAACAACAACTATGTATTTAGAATATTTGTGTTCATCCCTATGCTGGGCACAGTGTAGGGACACAGGTGGGAAACAGTTTCTGCTCAGAAGTAGCTAATATTGTTCATTTAGGTAAATGAGAATAGAACACATAAAACAACCATGAGTGAGTATGGATAACATAAAAATAGGGTTGAGATTTTCTGGTGTCAGCTATGCCAGCTGTAGAACCAAGAGGCAAGAGTAATCTGAGGGGCGGGATAGTTTAGGAAGGCTTCCTGGAATGGGATCAGATCCTGGCATTTATTGAGTGTCCAGAGAGTACAAAGCTCTGCAGATGTTGGGAATGAGAAATGAGGAAGTGATGGTCTCTGCCCTGAGAAGCTCCCAGCCTAGGGGAGACAGACATTCCATTCCATTGTAACAAGTGCTGTAATGAAGGTGTATACAGAATACTGTGAGGACTGGGGACAGGAAGTAGAATATTGTAGGTGTATGTACCTGGATGAATTGGGAAAGAGCCTGCCATGGGGGCGACATTTGGGCTTGAAGGGTGAGTAGAAGTTGCTTAGGTAGAGTTTCAGGCGAATGTAGTATGTTTAGGGACAAAGGTGATTGAATCAGAAAGAACGAGGGAATGAGTGGACGGGAGAAGAGGCCAGAGAAGCAGCATGGTGTGGGGGAAGGGCATGGTCTTTGGATTAGAATTAGGGCACTCTTACACTAAATGAAATAAAGTTCGGAGAGGAGAGGACTCCCCACAGGACTGACATGGTGGGCCTTCAATACATGTTAGTTTCTTTACCTAGCTCCTGGAGAAGTAAGTTGAGGCCAGCTGAAGATCCTCGCATGTGAACTTGATCCTGTAGGTAGTAGAGAGTCAGAGGCGCTTTGGGCTGTTATGTCTGATTTAGGAAGGCTTTCCCTACTTTTCTACCACAACATTATAAAAGTAGTCAACATTTTCTCCCTAATAGGACTTACCTGTTAGTCTACGAGCAGCCCAGCAACCCCATGTACACCTCAGAGTGTCAAAGGTGACTGGGTTCTTGGTGGAGGAGCAAAGGCTATAGATTAAAAAGGGTTTTCTTTGGTAAGCAGTTAGGTATAGTAGGTTCTTGTACTTGTAGGCAAGAAGGATTTTTATGTATTCTTTTTTTCCTCTCAGTATGTAGTAGAGGCCTTTTTCAGAGGTCCCACTTTGTCTCAGATAGGGCATAGGAAACAATGCCCCACTCCCTTCCAGGGTTGACCATGGATGGTGGGGGCAGTGAGAATCCTCGAGGAGGTAACACTTGGGACAGAGGCAAGGCCTCTTAGTGTCCTCTCTCCCCTCAGAACTTTTGCTTGCAGTGTCATCCTCTGCTGTTTTGTGTTTTGTTTTAATGAAGGAAACTATTCTTTTATTGTTCCTCAAACTCTGCTCCTGGAACTGCCTGCTTCAGAACTGAGGTGCTGAGTTAAAAGGGCAGATTTCTAGGCTTAACTCCAGCTTTCCTGAATCCAGATCTCAAGGGGAGGAGCTGGAGAACTCTGCATTTGTATGCATTTTAAAGATTGAGACCCTTTAGGTTTTTCATTCAGCTTTCTTCAACAAATATGACAAAACAAAAAATATGACATGCCTAAGCATGCCTAACACTGTATACACCCAAGGTACGGTAATCTACATTTTAGTTCATAGAATGTTAGAGGCATGGTGGAGTAAACCATTGGATAGGTTAGGCAAAGGTACGATTGTATGGCACTTTGAAAGCGTGGCAGTTAGGACATGATACAGTAACAAATAAGGAGCTTCTGATTCATTTGCAGGCTGTATGGATTAGAAGGAATATGGACTTTGGAGTCAGCCCAGCCTGACCCTACCACACCTCTAGTGTGTGACCTTGAACAAACTGGTTAACCTCTCTGAACCTCAGGTTTTTATCTATAAAGTTAAAAATAGTGGTTACTTCATAGGGTGGTTAAATGATAATTAAATGACATGATATAAATAAAGTACTTAGTATGGTGTTTGGCATATAGTAAGTGAAATTAAAAAGGGTTTTGTTACCCCACTTGGAAGTGGACATGTTCAGGAGTAGAAGGGTTAAGTTACTTGGCTAAGGTCATATAGCTTGGATGACCCAGGAGCCTGGATTTGAACTCTGGTCCTTCTCCAAAGCCATCTCTTTGAACCTGAGCATTGTTCTTCCTCCCACAGGAATAATTCCTTCTTGGCGGGTTGCTGTGAAGCTTCATGAGAAAATGTCTTAAAGTTCCTAGTTCAATGCCTGGCACGTGCTCAATAATGTTAGTTTGTGTTGTCCCTTCCCGAGAACATCAGACAGCTTCCAGTGGTTTGAGGAAATGCTACTCTGTCCTTATTGAAAAAGCACAGGGTTTCTCAGGGGTCACTGGAAGAATGCCTGCTGGTTCTAAGGCAGGTTGCCTTCCCAGCTGTTTACTCCCAGCTGCATTTGGGCGGACTCCTTGCAACTGTGGATTTTTTCCCTCCTGTAGGGTGAAGGCCATGCCGCCCCCCGGGAAGGTTCTTCGGAAGGAGAACCTAGGGCTACAGTGTGAGTGGGGGTCCTGCTCCTTTGTGTGCTCGGCCATGGAGGAGTTCTGTGAGCACGTTTCTCAGCACCTGCATAAGTACCTGCATGGCTCCGTGGAGGAAGAGGAGGGGGAGGAGGATCCACTGGGTAAGGGTGCAAGAAACAGGAAGGAGAAGCTCAAGGGAAAGTGGAAAATCTGACGTCTTTTCCACAGAGGGAGAAGGCAGCCTGGAAGAATGGTGGTATACTTTCCTAATTGTGCTTTTTTTGTTTATAAAAAACATTGTAGACGCTTTATAGAAAACTCATTCAACAAGGATTTTCAGAATGAATCTGCCATTCTCCCATCAAAAGGGAATTACTGACAGTACTTTAGTGAATATTCTTTTTGACCTCTATCTGCATAAATTAGATAATTGACTTTATTTATTTATTTTTTTAAGCTGAGCCATCCTGCCACCTGTTGGCAGCTCAGTGGCTGCTCAGCTCGGGCTGGGAATCGAACCGCTGTTGCTCAGAGCTCAAACTCTTGAGCGAGCTCTTAACCAACTGAGCCACTCGGCCGGCTCTGATTTTATTTTTTTAAAAAGGATCATATTGTACAAGCTGTTGGCAACCTGCTTTTTTCACACTCTGGTAGTGTTTCTCCCTCTCTCTTTCTCTCTTTTTTTCTTTACTGCCACTACCAGTTAGGAATACATTTTACATTACAGCTGTACACAAAAGTTAAAAAATACTTGAAACAATGTTTGCCTTTATTAAATGCTCTCTGAAGTGTTCTACCTTACTCTCTTTCATTAAAATAAAAAATATGGTTTGCAACCCCTAAATTGACATCACCACCCACTAATAGGTCACAACAGTTTGAAAAACTGTGTTCTATAAAGTACAGAGGCAGCTGTCCTTCCCCTACCTCAAATTCTGTTTGAAATGTAGTGACTATGAACTATAATAATTTCAAAGGTCAGATAATATTTAGACAAAAGGGAAATTAGGAGATTATGTTTTTAAAGTACTTTTTAAAACAAACCCCTAAAAAGCATTGAAAATATGGTGTTTAGAGAGAAAGGAAGTGGATTGGAATAGTTGATAGACCTTCTTGGAGAAGACAGATCTTGAGCAGAATATGGGGGAAAAGAGGACTTGTAGTTTGACAGGAAGGATGGGAGGTGACCCAGGTTGGGAGGCAGTATCTTCTTCAGGGAACAGCAGAGCCTGGATAGTGCATACCAGTCATACCTGCTGTCTCTGAGATTCTGGCACAGGGCTTTGCACACAGCATCCCCTCTGCCTAGACGACACTTCTTTACCTATTCTAGTTTACAGTTACCCTTTAGATCTCAACACAGGGACACTTCCAAGATATCTGTCTGCCTCGTATTAGCTCTGTTTGTTTTGTAGTACCACTTCCCCCCTTCATAGTATTTATGACTGGTTGCAGTTTTATATTTATGCATGTGATTATTTGATGTTTTTGCTCCCTGACTGAAAGTATATGGGCTTTTTACTCTTTTTACTCATTGTTATATCCCCAGCACTTGGCACAATTAGTGGTGATTTAAATACTGGTATTTGCTGAATGAACTGGTAATTTGGTCAGAGTCCAGCCTCCTCGCTTGCTGCTAAGTGCCACAGGTGGAAGGAGAGCTGAGCTTTGAATAGTATCACACTCTTCTTTTTAAACTCCTTTCTGCAGATGAGGAATTCTCCTGCTTGTGGCAGGAGTGTGGCTTTTGTTCTCTGGACAATTCTGCTGATCTCATCCGTCATGTCTACTTCCACTGCTACCACACCAAGCTGAAACAGTGGGGGCTGCAGGCCCTGCAAAGCCAGGCGGACCTCAGCCCCTGCATCCTGGACTTCCACAGCCGCAACATCATCCCTGACATCCCTGACCACTTCCTGTGTCTGTGGGAGCACTGTGAGGTCAGCAGGCAGTGCTGGTAGTAGGGGTGGAAGGAAGTTGCAGATCTTAACTCAAGATGCCTTGACTCTTTGAGCGATGCCCTGTATTCCCAAGGTTTCTGCTAGTATCTCCTTCATTTCTGGGTAGCTCCCTTGGTCAAACGTTTTGTCCCCACAAAGTTAATTTGGGAGAGAGCTGAGAAGGCCCCTTTGGACACATAAGGGAAAGAGTCCCTCCACCCACCCTCAGTCCTTACCCCAAGTTGCTCCTGGCACAGAGCTCCTTCGACAATCCTGAGTGGTTCTATCGGCATGTGGAAGCGCACAGCCTGTGCTGTGAATACAAAGCAGTCGGCAAGGACAACCACATGGTGCTGTGTGGCTGGAAAGGTAGGGCCACTCTTTAACTTATGGCCTCTAAAGAAACCCTGTAGTTGCTGAGGGACTAGGGCAGCTAGGGATGGGACCAGTCCTGCAGGGCAAGTTTGCCTGCTGTCTGGAGAGACTTGGGGTACCCGAGCCTACTCTGTGGGTTTGTGTCTGGAGCCTGACCAGGCTTTCCTTTCTAGGCTGTACCTGCACCTTTAAGGACCACTGTAAGCTTCGTGAGCACCTCCGCAGCCATACTCAGGAGAAGGTGGTGGCGTGCCCCACTTGTGGGGGCATGTTTGCCAACAACACAAAGTTCTTAGATCACATCCGTCGCCAGACCTCATTGGAGCGTAAGCAATCAGAGAAGGGGTGTGGGTGCAGGCTGTTCTTCTGGTGGGAGTTGGGGGCATATTCTCAGGAGAGGGGGCCACTGAAGGTATCTGCTGCTTGGCTACATCTACCTTTAGGGCTCAGTCACCTGCCACAGTCTCTGCTGACTCAGATTCATTAGACATTGCTATTCAGGGCTTACTGTGTTCCCAATCAGTTATCTCTGAATCCTCACAACAGCCCCATGAGGTAGGCTTCTTATCCCCCTTTTTGCAGATGAGGAAACTGAGGCTCAGAGAGGTTAAATCACTTACCTGAGATCACACAGATAGTAAGTGGTCAAGCCGGGATTCTAATTCAGGTTTTCAACTCCAAGTCCCATGCTCTTTCCATGATACTATGTCCATCCATAGTTCCCTAAGCTCCCCTTGTCTCCTTGGGTGGTTCCTTCTGCCTGGGATGGTTCCCCTTTCTGGGATTCATTCTCCTCTCTGTGCCTCGCTGACATCCCCCACAGCCCACCTTTTCTTCTGCCTGCCCCACCCCAGAGCAACGCTTCCAGTGCTCTCACTGTTCCAAGAGATTTGCTACTGAGAGGCTGTTGCGAGACCACATGCGTAACCATGGTGAGTAGCTGGCTGCCCCCAACCTCTCTGCCCACCCTCCAAGGTTCCACTGGCCCTCAGATCACAGCCACTTCTCTACTCCCCTCAGTGAATCACTATAAGTGCCCTCTGTGTGATATGACCTGTCCGCTACCATCCTCCCTCCGCAACCACATGCGCTTTCGCCACAGCGAGGACCGGCCCTTTAAATGTGACTGTTGTGACTACAGGTAAGGGGAATCAGGGACGAGAAATTGGAAAACTCATGTTCCAGGGTCCCCCCATGCCCTCCAATCCCTCCTGACTTTCCTGACAGTTGCAAGAATCTGATTGACCTCCGGAAGCACCTGGATACCCATAGCAAGGAGCCAGCGCACAGGTGTGATTTTGAGAACTGCAGCTTCAGTGCCCGATCCCTCTGCTCTATCAAGTCCCATTACCGAAAAGTGCATGAAGTGAGTGGGGCTGGTGATGGGAGAGGGCTAGCAGAAGTGGGGGGGAGACTAGGGTGAAGGGCTGGCCTCACTCTCCCTCCCCTCACCATCAGGGTTACTCAGAGCCAAGGTACAAATGTCATGTGTGTGACAAATGCTTCACAAGGGGCAACAACCTCACCGTGCACCTTCGCAAGAAGCACCAGTTCAAGTGGCCCTCAGGGCACCCCCGTTTTCGGTATGTTTCTAAACCCTCCTCCCTAGATTCACACATTTTTTTTTCCCCATACCATTTCAACAAATTAAAGTCTTTGAAATTGACAGTGCTTTGATGTCTACCATTTCTGTTAGGCTCAAGGAACCCTGAGAATAGTGGTGAGGCAAAGGTTACTTTTCTGAGTTTTAAATCCAAGGCACAGTGCCAAACCCAATAAATGGTGCCCAAAGTTCTGCAGTCAAAAGTAGAACTAGAGCTTAAGTGTCCTAATCCATAGCTCCATGGCCATCTCATAAATCCTTTGACACCCCTACCCTCAAAAACAAACAATTTCATTCTCTCCCCTCCTTCATCTCCCCCATTTCTGGTTTCTACATAACATTTTCCATTCTGAGTAGTGATTCTTTCCTCTTATACATATTTCAGTAAAGACCTTTTTGTCTTCAACTCCCATCATTTAGAATCCCAGGGCTTCTTCCATCCCTCAGATTTGTCCCTTAACCTTGCTAAGCTTCTGTAGCTCCCTGCCCATGTTTGCTGCCCTTTGTGCTCCTACTTCACCAGGTACAAGGAGCATGAAGATGGGTACATGCGGCTGCAACTGGTTCGCTATGAGAGTGTGGAGCTGACACAGCAATTGCTGCGACAACCGCAGGAAGGATCGGGCCTGGGAGCATCACTGAATGAGAGCAGCCTGCAGGGCATCATCCTAGAAACAGTGCCAGGGGAGCCAGGACCCCAAGAAGAGGCCAAAGAGGAAGAAGAGGGCAGGGTTGGTGAGGGAACAGCCCTCTCAGCCTCTCAGGACACCCCTAGTCCTGTCATCCATGTGATGAATCAGACCAATGCCCAAGGCGAGCAAGAGGTTGTCTACTATGTGCTGTCCGAAGCCCTGGGAGAGCATCCCCCAGCCCCGGAGTCCCCCTCAGAGAGCATCATGGAAAAGCTTCAGGCAATAGCTGAGGAGCCAGAAGTCCAGATGGTGTGAAGGATGCAGAGCTTCACCATTCCTACCCCAGGTCCTGGGGTTTGAGCCAGGCTGCTGGCAGTGTCCCTGTGGGCAGCCCTTGCCAGTAGATGCCTTTAGGAGTGGTGCTGAGAGCTGTGTGATCCACTCTGGATCCAGCTTGCATCATTCAGCAGACTCTAAGGACTTCCCTTTTCTGCTAGACCATGTTTGTCAGGATCCTGAGGAGTTTGGATTCTTTAAGGAAGACACCCTGGTTATGTGTGTTCTTATAGAGGGATCTGATATAGGCTTAACCATAACCCCTAGCCATGCTGGAGCAGTAAATCCTGAAGTCAACTTGCATCCATTTCCATCTTTAGGGTTTCTTAGCCTCGGGGATGACTTATTGATCCCTGCAGGGGCCCTTTCATCACAACCAGCCGAGGCATTGTGAGCCAGGCAGCCATTTCCCTCTAAAGGGTTCCTCCACCAACCCAAGGACTTCATGTTATCTTCAGGGCTGGGGCTTGAAGCACTGAGTATGTGTGTATAGTAGTTGTTTTGGCAATAAAAGAAACACTTGGGCTGTTAACTCATTTCTTTTTTATGTTTGGTGACGGCTGACTAGGTAATGAGATACAGCTGCCCAGAAGAGAGCTGAGTAATTAGGCTTGTTCCCCTTTTAGTGATGGGGGGTGGGGGGTTGTTTCTGTCTTCTGCCCTACCCCACCCCTTCTTTGGTCAGACTTCTGTTTCTTCTTAGTATCTACCAACTTCCTGGAGATCCCAAGCATAGGTCATGAGTTTGTAGTAGCAGCACTCGAATGAACAAGTGGGGCTAACCAGGAAGATACAGTACCCGATATGCCCATGTTCTCTGAGTCCTGGTTAGAATCCAGTGCCTCTGGAGTAGGGGTTCTGTACCTGTGGGCTATATAGGATTAAGAAGGAAGCTGGCTGTGGAAGATGGATTTGGAGGCCCTAGGGAATGGCAGGTACTTGGAGTCCAGGAAGCAAGTTAGGAAATTATGTGTCAGTGCATTTTCCTGAGGAAAGGGTCTGGTTTTTACTCTCAAAGAGGTTGAAACCCTCCAAAATAAGAACTATTTCTTTAGACCTGTCCAGCCACTTCACACCAACCTGTGTCCATTCTTAGGGTCTCTGCTACTCTGGAGAGGTCAAGGAAATATTCTCAGGGGTCTTGGATGGGAGGAAGCTACCCAACAAGGATTTCTTGGTCTTTTTAAAAAGGCCAAAATAGTGCCTATTGCAGAAGGAAATAGGAAAGAAAGTTCATTAATTCTGTCAGCCATTTACTGAGTTCCTCCTATAGTTCAGGCACTGTTACAGCTGCTAAGGATACAAAGATAATAAAACCCAGGACCTGGCCTTGAGAGACTTGCAGTACAGAGGCAAGGAAAGATCTAAGTAAGTGGAGTGATAGAAATAGAAGCCTATCAGGGTCCATTTAAAAGGTTCAAAATAGGAGTAGATAGTATTACTTGGGCAAGGGATCAGGAAAGGCTTCTTCAAGGAGGTAATTAGAGCTATTATACTATTACAAAGGTGGGCAAGTTATTCCAGATGGAAGAAACTAAGTCTGTAAACAAACCTAAAGGGATACTTTATGGTGTAGCACAGAGGGCGCAAGATGTGGAGAGAGACAAGATGGAAAGGAAGGCAGGCCCACCCAAAGTAACCATGTAAAGGTTTAGAGGGGGTGATTCTGCTAAAGATGGGGAATATAAATCGGAAGAGACACCAAGCAGATAGAGGGCTGTTGCTGAAATTCAGGCAAAAAATAAGGGCTTTAAGGTTATAGCAGTGTTGATGTTCACTTTACAAGAGCCCCTTCATGAAATGGTAATGTGGAAGAGAGAGAACACAGAAATTAGAAATTTACACAAGCAAAGCCACTGCATTTCCAGACTCTAGGATCCTGTACTAAATTTGCCTCCCATACTCTGTCCTTCCACTAAATGAGTGTAGTCCGTATTCTCCCCCCAGGACAACTGGCTTCTTTGGGCCAAGTACCCTCAGTTTGTTTTATACCTCCTTATGTCATATAATTTGGGGCCCCATCCCCACCTCAACCTATGGTTTTGGTGGTTACACCATATTCTCAATTTATGGTGAAGCACTGTCCTCTGGAACCCCTAAGTCTTTTTACATGTTTTGCTATTGCCCAATCCATGCTCCTCCACTTTGTATGTATGTAGTTCTCACAACCTAACAGCAGGTTCTCATGTTTGTCCCTATTAAATTTTGTCTTGTTTGACTTGATTGACAACTGTCTCCAAGTAATGGTTAAGAGGTTGAATAGAACAGGGCCAAAGACCCCAAAGAAGTTATTTATTAGAGACTTGCCTCCTAAGCAAGACCAAATGAAGACTTCAAAGGCTCTAAACCTTAAAAGCACTGTGGTGCCCGATTCTCCATATATAATTCAAAATAAAAATATTAAATCATAAAACAAGGGATTCCAACATGATTACACTTTCAGAACTATGCATATATCGAATTTTGGTCTTAATTTTTTTCTTTCAATTTTGGTATCCTTGTTTTGCTGGTGTTCCGAGTACTGGCTTGGGCTGTCCCTTGAGTAATCCAGCATACTGATGCCATGCATTCTTCAGTTGAGCAGTGCCTTCAGGATTAGGCTAGCACCCTATGAAGAGGGCCTTTCTTACCAGTCTTATGCTTACACCAAAACTACCTGGACCATGGGGACAGCAGAGATTCTGGCCTGCTACCATGTAATTCCAGTTCTCCAGAAGGAGGGATCCTGGTCTCACTTTGCTTGGGTTAGATAGCACTGGGCCAGAAGTCTAAGCAGCCAGAGACCTGTGAGGATATGGGAGGCGGGGGGCACAGGTCCCTGGAGGGAGAGGGTAACAATACTAATTTGACTGCCTTAGAGTTTCATCAGAGGTCAGGCCATGAGTCCGATCAGACATGGTCTCTAAAGATTACGGAGACACCCCATCTTACTCTTCCTCAACGGATTGGGAGTAGAGAGAATGCAGGTGGCCGAGAAGTATGGAAACTAATGCTTCTTTTCTCTGACTTGAGACAAGTTCACAACCTTAGAGAAGAGCACAGAATTGCTGAGTGTGTATAAAACATGATTCTCTGAAATGAGAAAAAGGAAGAATGGGAATGGGGGATAAAACCATTTCTGTAAGATTATGACCTAGTGAATATAGGCACTCTGAAAAGTAAATGAATGGATTTTGCTCAAGATCTGGAATCCCATGGCTACTTTGGGAATAAGGAGCATACCCATTTCATGTACAGTAGCAGAGGGAGTTGAGGCTGACAGGAGGTTATGGAAGATTGTGAAAACTTTCATACCATGCTAAATATCTTGAGTTTATTGATTGGGCAAGGAATATGAAGGACAATTAGGTAGATGAATTTGGAAAGGAATGGAGATACCACTTTTAATAGAGAGAAGGAGGGATGATGGGAGTGGATGCACCTTTAGTTTATAGGAGGTATGGGGGAAATGCGAGGCATGAGGAGGATTTCATGCCTGTTGTTCTCTATTTCCTTGATAAAAAAAAAGTTTATTGAGGGGTAATTTATTGGGTTAAGGAGATTTATGAGAATTGTCAACTTTTTAAAATGCCATTAATAGATATAGGAGTGAGATAGGCCATCTGATGACCCAGCTGAGTTTGGAGATCAAGATCAAGCAGTGGCAACTTTAACACAACCAGACACTAATTTTTGTAGCAGATACCAGCACTCCTGGAACAAAAGCAGAATGCAGACCACTGGGTTGATCCACAGCCATGGCCTGACAGCCAGGACATGGACTGCTTAGAACTAAGGAGCTGGAGAAGGGTTATGAGATCCAGACTGGACAGTGAGTCTTTGGGAGATTGGAAAGTAGTGGTTAGAATCAAAGCACTGAAAGTTCCAGTGAGGCGTCTGAAAATTGGAGGGCAAAAGGGGAAATTTGTGGTCAGAAAGGGGACATTCAGAGTCCAGAGTATGTCCACAGGGAAGTAGCCTTCTGAGTGGAGACAGGTCATTGGAGTAGAAGAGGCCAAGGGAAATAAGGCATTTTGAACACCTACCAGCAAAGGTCTTTTTTCCCCACCCTTCAGTGAAGTGGGCCCTATATCAGCAAGAGGGGAACTGGCCCCCCAAAAAGCTGGGCAGACTCCTGTTTTGTTCCATGAAAAGCATACAGCCAAGGGGGTTGGTGGGAGTTTAAGTTCTAGGGCAAGGAAGGCAGCAAGCTGAAACTTCAAGGAAGAAAGTATGTGGGTTCTCAAAGAAAAAGGGAAACTCTTGGGCAGAGAACTTGGGCAGTCTGCAGCTTTGGAGAACCCCTCACTTTCTTCTTATTAAAAGAAATGTACACTATATAGCAACAGAGAGATAGATAAATATTACACTTTAAAAATACACTTTGAGGGCCGCCTAAGTGGCGCGTTGGTTAAAAGTTGGCTTGGGACGCCAGCTCTGAGCAGTATGGCCCCGGTTCGGATCCCACATGAGGGCCAGTGACGCTTCGCCCTCTACAGCTAAGATGGTGAACAACAGCTCAACTTGGAGTTGCCAGCAACGGCGTAGACTGCAGTGAAGCTGCAGTGGGCTGCCATAAGCTACCGTGAGTGGCTGGCAGCCGCATGAGTGGCTGACAGCCGGCGTGAGTTGCCGTCCAGTGGCCAGTGACCATCTGTCTCACTCTGGAAGAGTGCAATGATAATACCAACGTGGGCCAGTGAAGCGACACCCTCTACAACTAGACTGAAGAACAAAAGGACAGCAACTTGTCTGTTCTCCCCCAATTTCCCAATAAAATCTTTAAAAAAAACCAAAACACTTTGATTTGCTATATGTGCTATAATTTTAAAACGATTTTTAAAAAAGCAACAGCAGGGACTCTGGTTAGTAGATACCCCTCCGCTGTCTGGTCTCGGGTGCCTATGCCCAACTGCTTGCCTCTGGATGGAGAGGGCTCTGCCAGGCTCCCTTATCTACCCCACCTTCCCCGTCCTGGGCTGTATTTTCTCAACTGGCCAGCAGAGGGTCCTTCCATTGACAAATACACTAAAATCGTTCTGTCCAAAGATGAGAGACTGTCACAGCAGGCAAGGGAGACATGGTAGATGAGGGGCCTGGGATAGTGGCAGAGGAACTGGACCGGTTCCAAAGTCCCCAGTCCAATTCCTTTTCAACTCCCATAGGACCCTGTCACCCTGCTTTCACCACAGGTTCATAAATCTCCTTGCCTACTGCTTTTCCCAGCCTGTGTCTGTTAGATTAGCTCCTGGCACTAAGCTAAGGTGGGAATTTTCTGCTTCTGTCTTGCTCTTCGTAAGACAATTATCATCAATCCTTACCTGTCTGGGTCTAGGGAACCTGCCCGGGGATGGAGGCTCTTTCTTGGCGGTTGAAGGGGAGGGTTAAGGGTGGGAATTGGGGAGGATCCTAGAGGAAGGAGGGGATCCATCTTGGAATGGAGGAGGTCTAGTGGGAGGAAAGGGAGAGGGCCCATCTGGGAAGTCCGTGGTAGGAAATAGGTTTGTTCTGGGGATGATGAGGTCTAGATGGAGGAACAGAGGTTCTCTTCAG